CACAAAACTCTCAGTTTGATTGTCTTAACAAGGAAGTACATACGTACATAAGTACATTACTTGCTCACGAATTCACGATAATTTTTATCATTTATTTTACATTTTTACTGGTTATTAAGATATAATCGAATTACCAAAATATTTAAGAAATTTCAATTTTAAGTTTCGAGCTTTAAAGGGCATGTGGTCCATTAAGTGATACATTACGTGTAACCTGATACCTTAAAGCTTCTAAGAATAGCTTGTAGTATAAAACTATCCAACTAGTTTAATTTTGATTGATTGCACAAGTTAGAATATGACTTGAATATGTATATATGCATTATGAATGTTTAATTCACATGTTTTTTTTTTTGTTTTTTATTTTTTGTTGTTGTTGTTGTTTTGTTATAAGTTATAACTTTTAAACGAACCATAAAAATATTGTGAATACATATATATTACAAATGAACGAGATGACCTTGAACGTGTAATATGTACATATAAGCCATCAGTCATATAGACTCATAGCCACTAGATAAGACCTTATGGGTTATTATTTTCATATGTAATTATTATCACATGTAAATAGGACAAAAAAAAATGGAGAGACTACCTAGAGTTACACTATATTACAATTAAATTCTTTCTAATTATAGTAGTTTGTAGTTTTCTCTAGGGAAGATACTCACTAATTATAACTCAAGTGTACTTTTGAAAATGTTACTAACAAACACATTGACTTTCAAAGTCAAACTTTTGCCATTAAATTAGAATAAAGGTAGCAATGATAACTTAATGAAGACTTAGTAATGACTAAGTAGCAATGAAGATACATTCTTTGTCTCCCATTAATCTTCAATCTAATGAAATCAATTAGTGGAAAATTAAGACAGTCTTACACATAATTATGTACAAATGCACTCATTCATTCTTCTAGTTAATTCGTCCAATCATTACTTAGATTAGTGGCACATTAATTTTGTACCACTAGAATATTAAATACCCTTTATATTTCAAGAAAAGAATATACTGTAAAACATTTTCGTAGGGCAGACAAATATGTGGCAACTCAATCGAAATCAAGAAATTAATTGATTTTAATTGAAAGAACAAAGTATGCATAGAATGGTTTTTTTGCCGTTTTGATGCAAAATATGATAATCTTGACTCCACTTATAACTAATAAGATTAATCTTAGCTTGCTTTATTAGTTGATAGTTGAGTTATGTCGACATGTAGCGACAACTTTGCGTAACACCTCGACTTATTTTTTGCATACCATGGAAGTGGTTTCATGGAATGAAAGCAAATCATAACGAGAATCATATTATATTGCATTATATATAGTCTGGTCAACTTCTCAAGAAAATCTTGCTCATCTTGCTTTTAATTTGTTTTTAAAAGTACATAGTGAGTAGTGACCTATATAACTATTGATGTAGATGAGGTACGATTTTAAATCTTGGGTAATTGTAATTAACTAATTACTACTTCTAATCTAGTTGACATTTAAAATTCACGATTATGTTAGTAAGTAGTAAAATGATTAACATATATAGTTAAGGAATTGAACACAAAGAGTGATAGAGTTGTGTATTACTTATGGAAGTCTATTATTATGATAAGGATGTGTATATTGTGCATGCAAGACAAATTAAGTTTTATCACTTTTAACCTTGTTATGCCAGAATACTAATTAATAAGATAACACACTAGCTACCTAAGAATATAAACCATATAATATATATAATCATTCATTTAATAAGATAACACACTAGCTACATAAGAATATAAATCATATCATATAACTAATATATAAAGCTAAACTTTTAGTCAGGTCACGAGGCAACGACACTTGACGTTCCAACTTTTCGCCAAGTGTCGCACCACGTATGATAGACTTTAGATAAAAGGTTAGTTTAGAATTCTATTTGGATAAAATTTTAAGATTAAATTGTAAGTTTATAGTTTTTATTTTTGATAAAATACCAATATTTCAAATGTACAAATTGAATTATAATTTTATTCAAAAAAATTATTAAATTATAATTCTAATATAGTTCAAAGCGTAAAACATCCATTTATAATGTATATATACTAATCGGCTAAAATAATATGAGTACTTCACAATTTAATAGAATTTTATTACTATGTAGACCCATCAATTATGGTCGGGTCACGAGTCATCTCGAATTGGGCCACTTTAGGTTATGAGTTAAGAAATGTTTAACTTTTGCCCAAAGTTTTAGGTTCGGATCAACCCAACGGGCTTTGAACATTTTTTTTTTTTGGATTAAAAGGGGTTTGGAACATTTATTTCATTTAATTTATTTTTTGCTATTTTTTTTTATGTGTATTAAATCGAACATTTTCGCCAAAATTATTACTAGCCATTATATGCTTATTGGGTAGCAAATCATCACAAAAGTACATCCAATTTCTAACTAATTTGTATCAATGATAAATTTTAAAATTTAATATATAGATTAAAAATTTATCTTACAATTCAATACACAGCCCGGGCATCGCACGGGCACATAACTAGTAATATATATAATCATTCATTTTATTACGTAATAATGCATATTCGACACATGTAAGCTATATACACGTAGCTAGTCCTAGTACATGAATAATGGAGATTAACCTACCTATACTACATGTATTACAATATTAGTCTATTGTGAATTTGTGATGCTAAAGATAAAAAGTAATATTACGACATGCATATAGACTCTTTTGGTATGACACAAGCAACAATGTAGTCGTCATAGCTTTTGAATAATTGGATTATTATTTGACTACCTTTCATTTCGATCTTCCTACAATGTAGCTTGACACATAATTGGAGATAATTCTCAAAAAAAAAAAAAAAAAAAAAAAGTACCCCTTAATTAGATAAAGGGTTCCCGTCAAAAAAAAAAAAAAAAGAAAAAAAAGAAAAAAAAAAAAAAAGAAATAGATAAAGGGTTGATGAGGACATTGTGAAAGAATAATCCACCAACAGTTAGATATGGGATAACTCCTTTATATCATGAAGCTCATCTTTTAGTCTTTAATTATTTACAAACTTTGTAACGTGACAATGATCGAGAGAAGTGTTCTATTGAATAGGCATCGTGTACAAGTTAATTTGATGTATTCATCTTAGTAGGCTCTTACCTTTTCTATTGTACCAAATATTATTGTTTGATTAATAATTTAATTCTAAGTCTTTAAATATGTTAAATTGGAATTAGTCATTGAATGGTTTATAAAATCATGAAATACACATTTCTTTTTCATTGATGTATTGTGAACATTGCTTTTTCTTTGAAAAAAAAAAAAGCAAGGCAAATGGTGAGTTGTGTGGGTTGTTGAGACGGACAACACTCTACACTTGCATGTATGCACGTCATGTATCTTCTTTGCTATTTACTACACATAAATTGCTCCAATTTTGCTTACGTTGATCTTTAATTTGAGAATCTATCTTCACTTTTGTTTCTAAGTATTATTGCAATTTGACAATTTGTACACTTCATTAGGGCTGTACAGAGTGCGGTTTGCGGTATGAAATTTGCGGTGCGGTTTTTAAAAATGACCAAAACCGCGGTTTGGTGCGGTTTCAAAAAATATTGAGACCAAACCGCACTTTAATACGGTTTATGATTTTATACTATATTTTCATTAAAATTATATTAAAGAACTAAATTATATGAGCTAATCTTTAACTATTAGTTATTAAAGATTAATTAAAAGAGTTTAATATTTGAATTATAAACTAATAATTAGAAAATAAAATAAAAGTTTTGTTTTTAAAAGAATAATTACAATTTTAATAAAATACGGTTAAACCGCAAACCGCACCGCATTTTGCGGTGCGGTTTGAAAAAAATTACAAACCGCAATTTTGCGGTTTGGTGCGGTTTATGATCCAAACCGCACCGCGAACACCCCTACACTTCATTCTTTAATTTCTATTCAGTTTTGAAGTAAAAACAAAAAAACAAAGAAAGTATTAATTTAAGGTCCGTTAGATATCATTGTACTCGGTATGTTGTTTTATAGCTAAAAATTAATAAAATCTGCTGAAATCATAATATTGTAATTTTGAAAACCAACAACTTTTTTTTTTGATTTATTATTCTAAAAATATAGAAAACTAAAGCGAAACAATAACGAACGACCCTTATTGAATTGTTTAAATATTGCTAAATATTAGCTTGTTACAGCCCAAATTTATGTATTTACGGGTGCAGGGAAAACTTGGAGCCAAAGAAAGAAATAGGGCTATAATTCTCTGAATAGCCAACTATTGGCTAAGGGATAAAATGAAACAGAGAAGGGGAAGAAAGGAAGAGTGATAGAGCCTTAAGAGACGTCAATTTAGTTGTTCGGTTGGATCAGATTAAGTATATTTCATTTTAAAGTCATGCTAATTTTTTGTGTCTATGCAAATCGGAATTAGAATTGAGTGTATTTCAGAGTGATTTCGGATTAAGGGTCTGTTCTATTCAACTTAATTTCATTTCAGTTCAGTTTAGCTCCAGTCAGTTCATTTCAGTTCAGTTTCTAATTTCCTTCTCTCATAAACAATTCATTTAACCACTATTCAGTTCAGTTCAGTCTCAATCAGCTCATTTCAATTCAATGCAATTGTTTTCAATGAATTGGAACAGACCCTAAGTTTTGAGTTTTTGACACTTCTACTTTGCAAAGTTTGCATAGAATTAAACAATTGTCATGCATAGGAGAATTGAACTCTATTGGGTTTATATGAGGTAACATTATCAGCATTTTTACTCATGAACATTTTTTGGGCCTATCAAAGAGGCTAATTTACTTGTTTGTTCCTTTGTTTTGGGCCCAAAAAATACTTGAAACCCATAAAACAAAAGCTCAAAAATAACCAAGCCCAACTGAGTGGCTTCACTAATTTCCCCTTTTAATAATAACCACAAATATATTATCACTGTCTCACTGATATTTTCCAACGAGTGGCGCGCAGTTTAATTTCTTCGATTTTCCTCATTTTAACAATTTTAACAATTTTTTCCAAAATATTTTATCCAATTGAACAAACTCTTAAAAAATAAACCAAATTTCTCTCATTTTATTTTTCCAATTTATTATTTATAATTATCCATAAAATAATCAGGGAAATTAAAAATAGTAAGTAAGCAACCATGAAAGCTCTTCAAGCTTCAACTGCATACAGCTTCCCCATTTCTTCTCCTGCTCCTTCTTCTTCTAGACGCTTCTCCCGTGTTATTCGTGCTCAAGGTTATTTATTTATTTTTAATTTATTGATTTTCTCTTTTGTTTAATTAATTTTTATAATGATTTTGTTTCTAGTAATTAATCATATTCACTATTTGCGCGATAAAAGCAATACAAATTTTGGTATTAATGAAATCCAGAAATGGTTTATACTTGAGGTTATTTTGTTAAGTTGTTGAGAAGGTTAGAATAGTAATTATCAATTGAGTTTGTTTGTGGGTGTTATTGTATTTTAGAAATTATTAATCAACTTCGATTTGTATGAATTTTAATTCATGGGTAATGAAAGATGAGATTCATGGAAAATGGAAGTAAATTTGGGTTTTCGTTCTGATTGGTAAGTCAATTTATAAGGGTATGTCTGCAATAATATTAGTGTATGACTTATTTCATACTCCCTCCGTCCCCTTTTGATAGCCGGACAAATTTTAGTCCCAAAATGTTCACCCCATTTGCTTTTTCCAACATCTATTAATATTAAATTTTTACCAAAATTCCCTCCCATTTGCAACAATATCTTTGCAAATTTAACTTTTCCATGTAACTTTGTGCCATGTACTTTTATTACTTTCGCTCTCTACTTTTTTTGCATACCCAATGTCAATTTATTTTTACCAATTGGGTGTTGGTGTAGTGGTGATTGGGACTACACTTGGTAGGGAGGACCTGTGTTCGATCCCCCGCAACAACAATTGGGAGGGGACTGGAACCTAACCACCCAGAACTGATCCCCGAATCCGGATTAGCCCAAAAGGTGAACCGGGTAGAACACCAAAAAAAAAAAATGTCAATTTATTTTTTCAATTTAGTTTAACTATTCTTATTTGTGATTATTAATTCCTGTGAAAAATGACCATAAGAATTTATCAAAAAGGGACGGATGGAGTACTAAGAGAAACAAATGATGGGCAAATTGTATTTTGTGTGATAGATGAATAAGGGATGTATTAACTTCCTAGGCGTAAGCGCCTCATAGGCAAGTAAAGTCTAATGTTTCATGAGATTGATGATGTAATGATGTGGGAATTGGAAATGAGACAAGTAATCCTTCTTTTTTGGTGTGCCATGGAATTTGAAGTTTCCATGGACGCGCACATTTGAACAAGGGTGAATGTGAATATTGTTCGTGTAATACGGTGTATGTTATATACTTCGTATTAGAAGTTGTAATATCTTTTTCTTGGAATTCTTAAGGTGGCTTCTACACTCAAGACTCAAGAGTGTGAGAAAATGTCAGGATTAAGATCATGAGCTCCTTAAACTGTACAAAGATATTAACAAGGATTGTGTATTTTGAGATGCTGATCAAGTTCTTTTTAAAAGATATTTGAAGATTACCTATTTTCAGCATTCTATCTTTCTGTTTGAGTTCATTCCAGCATCTAGGTAGAATCACTTATTGATATCTCACTTGTTTTTCAGTGGATCCTTCGGAGAAATCTATTGAAGTAATGAGGAAATTCTCTGAGCAGTTCTGTCGTAAATCTGATACATACTTTTGTGTTGATAAAAGTGTCACTGCTGTTGTTATCAAGGTAAATGTTGCCTTCTTATATTCCATGTTTACTTTCTCTTGTTTATGTGGTGCTTCTTTCACAATTATATTTGTGTGGATGTTATATATTTAAGAAGATAATTATTACCCTATGGAAACCTTGTAAGAATTGGGTGGTAAATTTAATACGTAATATGTTTGAAGGTTTTATAATGGTAGGTAGAGATTTGCTTCCAATATGAATGGATTGTCAATCAAAGATGCCATGTACTTATGTAGATTGTAGATTATGAGCCACTTCCAATAGAGTCAACTTTATGTGGAATATGAGAACATTCAAGAAAGCCATTAGCCACCTAATATAATTGTATTTCTTGTCAAGAAATGTAACTAGGGATCGTGAACTATATTTGGTGTTTCACTAAAGATCTGACTATTTTTTCGATGCTGCTTGGTGGTTGTACTTTAGATGAGCTACCTAAAGGATCATCATAGAAAAACAAGAATGTATGAATTTTTGTAGAAGTAATTCATACGAATTGGAAGAGTGTATGTCAAAAGGTTTGTTTCATCTATCTGGTCAGATATCTGTTGGGGACTAGAACAATTTCTGGTCTGATATGTAAAATGCTCCACAGACGGACTGCTTCTTGTTCTGCAATTTTTATGTAACTTTCCTGTTTGGATGTTTACAGGGATTAGCAGAGCACAGGGACACATTAGGTGCCCCCCTATGTCCATGTCGGTGAGTACAGTTACTTTTCACGGAGCTTTCTTACTTTCTCACAAGATTGTTTACATTTTGATGTTACAAGTGATTCTACTGTGGCTCAGGTATTATGAGGACAAAGAAGCTGAAGCCAAGCAAGGTTTTTGGAACTGCCCATGTGTGCCTATGAGGGAGAGGTATGATTCTCCATATCAACTTTTCTTGCAGATGATTCTGCATACAGTGATGCCTGCTTAACCTTTGGAGCATACATATGATTCTGTCATCTCCATTAAGAGTTAATAATGCAGTAACTCAAGACGCTTCAATTATCATATTTTAGAGATACTGAAGTTGATAGTGGAGGGGTCATAGAAAGATTGTACTTGATAACTTAATTAGCACCAAAATACCAATTTGCATCTGTGCAATGCAGAGTGAAGGGATTCAATGAAATTTTACTGTCAAGTTTGTAGCTTAAGGACTTTAGGAGAGATTAAGCCTATAAACTGTTCAAGAGTTTGTAAGGATGTGATGAGTTCAGTTACATGCATGTGTATGGTGGTGACTCCGGTGGGTATTGTCAGTCTCTCTGCTTTATAATTTTTGAGACTTTTGGAAGTAAGTTATTTAGTGTTGCGTTATGATACCTCTATGGCTCCACCCTCCACTGAATGTTCTAGAAGTTCTGCATACCCCCAATCAGTGGCTATTGTGTATTCATTTTGAGCTAAGAGTTTCACGAATTGTATTGCTTTGAATAGGCAATTTCTGTATGGTCTGATTATGATTCTTAATTTTGGTGAGTATTGTTAGTCAGTCTGTCTCTACTCTTAAGTGTGGTCATGGGAATTTGGGGACTGAAGGTGATTAATTAAGTCTACCAATGAGGTTTTAGTGAATTTTGCAGCATTCCTTTTTGAAATAGAATGCTCTAAGATGTCTACAAGGACCCACTTCACAATAACAGTGGACAGTACCCTGAATTGATAACCTTGATACCTTCAATTGATTTTAAATAGCAGTAAAGTAGAAAGGAGAGAGATAATTATGGCTGTGTTGATTTATCATAGCCTGTTTTGTGAGAGAATCTACTACAGCCAGTTCTCTTCCTATTGCCTTCAAATCTCCTTGGAAAAAATTATGATGATGAACTTTACTCTTCCTAGTTTCCTAATTTAAAAGATTAACCTTCAGGGATCGGCTTCCACATATTCATCACTCGTGGCTTTATCTGATATGCTGCTGCTGTGTTTAAGTGGATAATGTCTCAAACAGTCAAACCAATTGTATCCCAAATTGTGCTATGGACTGATATGGATTTGAGTTGATGTTATGCTGTTGTACTGAGGGTGTGCATATACTGTTCGGAGACTGAAAAAGATAACTGAGTGGTAGAAACATGTGGCACTGAAAGTTATAATGCAAATGTAGAAATGTCTGATCATGGGTCTTCTTTTTGTGTCCTATTATTGAAGGGAATGAGGGCTGGGAAGTGATGATTTATGCCTTTTTGGTATTAGTTGCTTGCGATTTACGTTCTCATGTTCACGTCTCTAACGTAGGATACAATAAGGAAAGACTAGCTTAATGGCTGATTGCTGCTCAACTTGCCATTATGTTACTCTAGGTGGTGGTGTTTATGTTTATGGTCACTCTCTGGGGATTAGCCTTGTCATTCGATCATGTTAATTCCTCGGATTTTGTTTATTTTTGTTTATCTAACACAAGGAACTCATTGCTCATAGCTTATAAGTAACTGAACTGGACAATTTTACAGGAAAGAGTGCCACTGCATGCTATTCCTGACCCCTGACAATGATTTTGCTGGAAAGGATCAGGTTAGCCTAACATCCTAAATGCGCGTTATTGTTCTTCCATGAAGGCATATATTTTCTGAATATGCTGGTCTTTATAAGTTTTCTTACTTAGTACGTATAATTTTGCCATGTTTGCAGACTATCACCTTGGATGAAATTCGGGAAGTGACTGCGAATGTGTGATCTTATATGAGCTGAAGCCTCTTATGCGTAGCCTCAGTAGGCCTGTACATTACGTATTATCACGAGGATGCCAATAACTGTTGTTCTGTTATGCTGTACTGCCTGTATATACTCTTATTTTGGAGAGCCTTGCCATCTCTAACTTTAAGCCTTGTCAAAGGTATATAGCCATACTCATGTATCTGAGTTTGTATTTCATTTTATGATATCATACCATATTATCATTGATAGAAAAGTTATACATCAATAATTCCAAAGTATATTTCTGAAGGGTTTCTGCATTTGGTAAAAATGTAGAAGTATTTCTCAACACTTGATGATCTAGCCAACAACAATATAATTGCCATTCTTATGGAGTATTGTCTTAAAATGGCATGTTATTGATTTATGGAATGATTTATCTGCATGTAGCCACAAATAGTTTTGATGCAAGACAGCAAGAGTTAGGAAAGAAATCAAAATCCTCTATTTCACAAATGTTTGTGTATTCTAAATTTCTAATAATGTTTTTTCTATTGTTTGTGTTATTGTGTATGTGTATATTTTTTTGGCTTGGGATGTACATTGAAAATTTGGCATTGAGATGTATGAGGAAGCTCAAGTTAATCACTGGGATAGACAGAAAATTGTTTAGCTCAAGTTTATCTCATTGGGATAGACAGAAAATAAATCAACAACTTTATCTAGTCATCATCAGTGTGGGACTCGCTTTTATGGAAAAAGTTATTGATTTATTTGCGAAAATACATGTGATAAATAATTATTGTGTATCTCATAGATGAACTTGTATTTACCCAAGATGTACCAAACAGAGGAACACACAATACATCCATGATCATTCTTTGCTTCATGATTTTTAAGTATCTTCTTTAGGAGAAACAACAACAATGTCTAAACCTAATCCCTATAACAAAATCGGTTATATAAACCAAGATCCTTTCTTTCGATGCGCTTTTATCAATGCTCATGTCAACCCAAGTTATTCTTTATTGCCTTTAGCTAGTTCGTACATACTTTTTAATACGGTTAATATCCTACTATCTCTAACGTCACGTCATCACATATACTTTTTCAATAAAATAACAATTGATGGAGTAACCAAACAACAACTTTTCTAAAAAAACAAGTATTTGAAAGATATGCATCATTATGTACTCCGTATTATCTTATATTTTCAAAATACTAATTACTGATTTCTAAGAGTCTGTTTTTTTCAGCTTATTTTCAGTTCTTATCTTAATTTCCTTCTTTAATAAAAATAAGTTTAATTCAACTCAGTTTCGTCAATACTAAGTACTGTACTCCGTATTAAGATCAAAATTATACAGAATAAATACCGTATAAGAAAAAATAAAATTAAAAAAATACTGTGTATAAAGAGACCTTGCGAAAAACGGTCCAAATGCCCCCAAACTCCAAAAGTAGTGAAGAGTGCATAAAATGGAAATACTGCATAAGTTCCGATGTGAACGTCATCTTTCAACTGAATTCTACACTCTAGTTTGACGTTTTATCTTTCTCTCTGTTTTTACAACTATGTCAACGCCCCAATTCACCATCACCCTTGGCCGCTCTCGTAAGTTACTCTCTATTTTCACAGATTCCTTTTAATGCTTTATTGTGTTCATCTTAATTCGATAATTTTGTAATTTTATAATTGTTAGGAAAATGTTATATATAGCTCTTAGGGCTACATATAAGCATTAAATTTACGCTTGAAAATTGTAAAAAGTTAAGAAATCGTCAAAATAAAAACACTAATAACACTGAGTTACGCGTGTTTTTGTCATGAATTCCTAATTTTATACAATTTTCAAGAGTATATTTAATGCTTATTAGAGCTACATATAACATTACCCTTAATTTTATAATGTAATGTTCATTTACAATTCTGTAAGATGTTGAATAACCATGAGCAATCAAGTTTACAATTTGATCATAAATGATTTCAATTATCTCTGCTATACGCTTCTGTTTGGTTTTGCTAGTGTTATTAGTAATAACCACATATTTCAATCTCACAGAATTATGAAGGATACTAGGTGAATTTGTTTATATACTTTTGATTTTCGAATAGTTGAATTATTACATTTTTAATATACAAGAGATGTTCTAGTAGTTGGGGGCATCATTCCATAATTAATAGGTTGAAGGTTCAATTAATTTCTCGCCCCTGTCCCAAGCTAATTTCATATTTTAGCTGCAATGGTCAAGCTATTAGCTAGGAACCCTTGATAATCGCAAGCAAGTCCCTACATACTACAACCATAAGGGTTGCTCATATGGTTATTACTCGAATGTGATTCTTTTAGTGTTTAAAAATTAATAAAGAAACCCTATTATCTCAGGACTTTAGTTTCATGCTCTCATTAAAAGTGGTGGTAATTAAAGCTAGTGAATGAATGTGTTTCTGTTTGTTATGTGTGTAGTCTGTTAATTTCTGTTAGTTAATTGATACAGATTCTATTTTGTTACTTGCAGACTACGAGCTATTGCTAAAGAGAATGTGGATTGTGATGGCGAAATTGGTAACAATATACTAATATATGATGGCTTACAGAGAACATAAATCATCCACTAATGATTTTATTATCTTAACTGTCTTGAAGGTTTTCATCTTGAAAGAAATGATCTCCAACACAAATTGATTTGGAGGAGGCTATCCAGTAAAAATCGTGGTAATGAGCATAGGAGAAAATTTAAAGGAAGGTTTCCTGGTGCACCAGCAAGGTCAGCCATAAGCTCTTATGAGCTGCAGCGTGGCCTTCAGTCTCAAAGCGATGGGCATTGTCAGAGAGATCCTTATAGAGAAGCTACTAGAGCCTTAGCTTACATGGGCTCATTGGAAACTCCTCCTCCTACTGTGACTAGAGATGATTTAAGACGAAGATCTCCTACAAGGTCCGCGTATAATTCTGGCTGTTTGTTGCCTCCAACTCATAAAACAGAATTACAAAAAGTAACATCTATAAGATCAATTGGGCCTCTAGGTAGTCAACATACTTATAGCCATATGTTTCCTGGACCACCTAGATCAACTGTACCAGCACAGACGGTGACATTAATGGATCCGGAAAGGACTAGACCTATGGCTTTTATTCCTTCACCAAGTGGGTTCCTGCCTAGAAGTTTGTCCATGGTAATACTTCACTCTTTTGCTTGCTTCAATTCTGTTTAAAATTTAAGGAAATCACTGAATGATAGGATCAACTCGTTTTGTGTTTCACACTTCTTCTATGTTTTGAAGTTAGGATTTCTGAAGCTGTTGGGATATGATTATTCAAACATTATGCAAATGGTTGTTTATTTTTTCTTAATTATTTGGGGGTGTGGTGAGCTTTATTCGCTTTCTGATCAGGTCAGTGCTTAGGTTTGTGACTTTATGTTATTGCTCAAACTATTTCCGATCTTCTGTGCAGGTTGAGGCACCTGTTACTGTTGCAGGGTTGTTGAATTCACTTGGTTTGGGGAAATATACTATCCATTTTCAGGCCGAGGAGGTATTGCCAATAAACAACTAAGCAAAACTCCTAATACTCGCCTCTTTCAGTATAACTCCATTGAAGGAGGTGGTGTTTTTTTTTTTTTTTTCCGCAGTTATTATCTGAACTTAACTGTACATACTGATGAGGATTGCATCCCACCTTATGTCCAGGTAGATATGTCAGCGTTGAAGCTAATGAGTGAAAAAGACCTGAAAGATCTGGGAATTCTGATGGTATTGTACTCAACTATCTTTTTAGCAAAATATGTACATGCAGTCACAAGTAATGATATTTTCTGCCAAGCCATTTCCTACTTTCCTTTTTTTTTTTTTTTTATTTATGTATTATTTTTCTTGAGTTTGTTGCTTCTCCATCTCTACTATCTCAGCTTTACTTGCTGTCTTCTAATTGCTTGCTTCAATTGGCCCAACAAATGATAACATACTAATCAGATTCTTTGCAAAGCCTTAAGGACTAGTCCTTAGCAAGATAATGACATTAGCCGATCAACCAAAGTCCAATATGAAAACTATGTTGAATTACAAAATAAACAACATATTTGTGAAACCCTTGTGAGATTCTAGGCTTGTCCCTTCAAAGGACCGACCAGGATTTTTTTTTTTTTTTTTTCGGTGAAATGCCCCATGTTCTGTTTTGATTTTCATTTTCTCTTCAAATGTAAGATTTTGTTACACCTGAAATCCCGAGTGCATAAGATAAACATAAAATTCACTAAAATCAACCGAAGCAATAGAATGTTAAATTTTTTTATTTAAAAACTTAACTAAGAGAAAACCTTAGCTAATATTATTGTCTTGTTTCTTTGATCCATCTTGTTCGCAACATCTCCATTAATGATAAAAAAACTTCGTAATTTCTACCAACATATAGATCTAGACAAAGTATCTTTAAGCAACTTTCTCAAATGAACTGATATATGGTGCTCAAATTTACCTTAGTGTTAATTAGATGCTTATCACTTATCATCATTCAGCAGTTCTTGCTGTAGGGAATATATCTCATGCTAATATTCTTTCTTTCCCTTTGGTAAGATTTTTGACTCTCTGTGATGTCAAAATCTTTCTCCCTTGTGCTTTAAGCCCTCGCGAATATTTAGATTTGACAGTAAAAACTAAAAACCATTCTTCGTGAAATACTCCTGCCTAACTGTTTGCTACATATTAAAGTTTAGCATTTATCATATGACATTCTGGGAGTTGATGGTATGCAAATACTTGGTTGCAAAAGAATGTTATCACATCCCAATTCCGTTTCTCTGAGTGTATTAAATTTTATGATGTGGTTAATGGAAAGTTGTGTTCTTACATGTCCTGTTCTGTCAACAGGGTCCAAGGAAGAAAATCCTACAGGCTCTCTCAGCTTTACTTAGGAGGCAATTGCCCAGGCAACTTTAGTCGGCTGAATTTGTATGTACCTTTTGCGTTCAGAAACTACAATTCATAGTCTATGTGATGTTGCCTCTTGCTTTGAATTTGAAGTAGAAAAGTTGGTGTTTATCATTCTAGATTGTTATTCCAAAATTACTCTTTAGGAAGTGGTGATTAATGAATGAGAATCAAAGCTTCCTTCCCATTGTTGCCTTTTTTTTTTTTTTTTGTTTTACATTCATGTTGTGTTGTTAGGCCTATCTAGATATTCTGCCATCACTTTTCTGTCAAGCATCCCAATATATATATATATATATATTTTTTATGCTCGCAACCTTGAATTTATCAGCCCTGCTTGTGTTGTGTCTTGTGTTACTTGTAATTTGAAAATCAAGTGCTTATTGCTTCAACAACCAAGAGCCATTTTTCATCTGCACTAGGCTTCCAAGTTGTTTGTGGAAACAGAATACTCCTCAGTGTTAGGGTAATCAAGATGTCCTAGAACTATGTCCAATGTATGTCCGAATTTCCCTCTGCTATGCCTTGCTGTCCGAGAGCTAGGCCTGCAAAAGAAAAAGAGGGTTAACTGCCCCGGGGTGTGACCCGGGAAAGCCCCTCCGATGCTTAAGTCAGCGAATGTCCTTTCTAGAGATAGAAAGTAGAGAGAGAAAGAGTACTTTAGAGAGAGAAGGTTAGAGAATTAGGAAAAAGTTACCATCATTAATGATTGGAGAGTTATTTATAGACGTACTTTCAGGTGGCAGAAGTTGTACTTGTTTGGACAGATTAGGGGTAAATCCGTACTTTACTCTGACTAATGATGGGCTGGATCACGGAGGGGTATTCTCGTAATTCCAGGTCAATGGGCTTAGGACAATGTACTTGGCCCAAACACAAGTTGCAACATTGCCCGGCAAAACTGCACTGTACATTCCATTTCTAAAACACTTAAGACTATGACATGTATTAGCCAATAGGGCATGTGAGGAACAAACGTTTCATAATTGAGGATTAACTTAGGCTGCACCCTCCAGGACCTTGTTGATCTTTCGATAGTCATTGGAGGACATCGAAATAAATGGGATTGACAGTAATGTGGGAACACGAATGTTTATCAATGCTCGGGAAATCAATAGAGATCCAATTATTTGGGAAGTACCCCAGTTATTTTGTCTCAATAGATCCCTGATGTAGCTCTTAGCTCATTTGATTTCAATGGGCAAGATTGTCGAAATACTACTGTTGGAGCAGGTATAGCCACACAGAAAAAGGTTATTTTGGAATAGCATGTACTTACAATAATTGATTGTGACATGGTGAGGTTATGATCACAATAATGCATTTGTGTGAAATAGAACACAGAATTAGACAAGACTGATATCTACTTACCTTTATATGGCAATAATTTGCAGTCATTTATCTTCGTGTTTTGTGACCATACTTAACTTTGGTAATTATGAAAAGTATAGCCAAGTTATGCTCTACCAATTATGCTGCTCTAAGTATCTAATCAGGATTTGTTATTATTTGTTCTGTTCTATCAACACAGACCAGGAAGAAAAGCCGTCTTACAAGCTCTTTCAGCTCAATCTAGTTGACATGGCTCAATGTCTCAAAGGATAGTAGGATCATTTTATGGTTATGTGGATTGTGAATAAATTTTAAATTTGGAAATATTGGATGTTTTCTTGCATTCCTAAGCAACCTGCCACGCCTTTAGCTTTCGTGGCATTGCCCCTGACATCAATTCTCTGTTATAGTAGTTGTGGAACCACTTCCACAGAAAATGCATATTATTTAGTCCTGGTGATTTAATATCACGAATTTAAGGCCAATCGTTCATGTTAAATACCTATACCCAACCAGACCGGACTCAATTGCCAGATTTCATTTTTTTTTTTTTTTTGGTTCAATCTGTTAGTTCCATAAGTTTTGATCCCAGCTTTGTTTTTGTTTAGACCACCTTCTTCCGCGAATTGATTCTTTGTTGATGCTGATGGATCAATTACTATGTTGAGCATGACAGATTACACAACTTTGCTGTTAATGCATGGAACACTCATTATCAGTTGGAAATACATCAATTATTAACGACAGTAAGAAGATATTATGTCCACAAAAAAGTCAGTAATAATAACAAAACTCTGTTTATCTTATACCATCCCCAAGTGAATACCCCATAATGGAGGGCCCTAATTACCCAAATGATATTATGGATAGTTTTATTTTTTATTTATTATTATTTTTTTCTTCTAAGTTCTTCAAGTTTCTTTTTATAGTGGCTAAAGAGCATACCCTTTGCATCTTATACCTCCCTTCACTTAACTCCAAGATTATATAGAAACAATGTTGATTCGGCTTACAAATTTCTGGCATACTCTCTTTTTCTACCCTTTCTTGGTCCCTTTTGTATTCTTTGTAATTATTTTGTACAATGTTCTATTTAAAGGTCTTGCCACCGGCAAAAACTTCCCACCCTCGCCGCCTATGCTGCCAATCATAGGAAACCTTCATCAACTAAGTGCGTCTCTTCACCGGGACTTTCTATCATTGTCTCGGCGTTATGGCAAGTTTATGTTGCTTCACTTTGGCAGCAGGCCCACTATTGTAGTCTCATCTGTGGATGCAGCTCGAGAAATCATGAAGACTCATGATGTAATCTTCGCTAACAGGCCTAAATCACGTGTTGCCATTAAATTCTTTTATGACTACAAGGATGTGGCTTTTGCTCTTTACGGAGATTATTGGAGGCTGATGAAGAGTGTGCGTTATGCAGCTTTTGAGTAACAAAAAGGATCAATCATTTAGAAACATAAGAGAAGAAGAAGCTGCTTTAATTGTTGAAATGATACATGAATCCCATTCTTCTGTGATTAATCTAAGTGAGATTATTGTGACGTATACGTATGATGTAATTTGCAGGGCAACATTTGGTAGGAAGTATAGTAGTAATCGTGGGAGAGGTGTTGATTTTAAGGAGCTGTTAAATGAAGCTATGGAACTTCTTGGGGTTTTTAGTTTGGGAGAGTTTATACCTTGTCTAAGTTGGGTTGATCGAGTAAAGGGTTTGGATGGTCGAGTGCAAAAGGTGGCAGATAAGTTGGATAAGTTCCTTGAAGCAGTTATTCAAGAACATACTTCAAACATTAGTGCTGAGTGTGACATAGAAGAGGATACAAAAAACTTTGTGGACATTTTGCTTGAATATCAGAATGAGAACAAGGATGCTATTTCAATAGACAGTATCAAAGCTGTTATATTGGTAAGCTAGTTCGATCTAGCTCATTATCGTATTAACCTTTAGATTATTTACTAGCTAGGCTCCCTTCACTTACCCTTATTTTTGCTGAATTGAAGTTATTTTACTGAACTGAAATTATTTCTATTGAACTTAAATTATTTTATTGAACTGAAATCAATTTTACTGAATTGAAATTATTTTTACTGAATTGAATTTATATTTCTTGTTTAAAGTTACTGAATTTTATTGAGCATATCTTATTTTTGTCAAACTGAAATTATTTTTACTGAACTGAACTTAACTTTTTAAGGTGAAGTGAACAGGGTCTAACCGTGTTTTGATGCAGGATATGTTTTTTGCAGGGACTGAAACAACATTCACACTAATAGAATGGATGATGAGTGAGCTGATTAGGCATCCCAGAGTTATGAAAAAACTTCGAGAAGAGATTAGGAACATTGTTGGAGGTAAAGATGGCAGAGTATGTGAGGATGATTTGGAGAAACTAATCTATCTAAAAGCAGTGATGAAGGAGGCACTGAGGCTACACCCTCCTGCCCCTTTGTTACTGTTTCGACAGCCATCGCAGGATGTCAAAATAAACGGGTTTGACGTCACTGCAGGGACACAAGTGATTATCAATGCGTGGGCAATTCAGAGAGACCCAACTGTTTGGGAAGACCCTGAGGAATTTTTTCCTGAGAGGTTTTTGAACAGAACTACTACATATGATTTCAAGGGACAAAATTATCAGTTTATCCCGTTTGGGGCGGATAGAAGAATGTGTCCTGGATCATCCTTTGCTGTGATTAATACCGAGCTTGTCGCTGCGAATCTCGTGTATGAGTTTGATTGGAAGTTGCCTGATGGAGTAGAATGTGGGAAGCTAGATATGGCTGAAAGTGTTGGTATAACAACTCACAAGCGAGTTCCTCTTATGGTTATTGCAACTCCTTATTTCTGTAAATGAGGCAGTCCTGAGTATAATTGAATCAAATAAACTTGAAATATAGCACATTTAAAAGATTATTTGTTTGAATAAGTGTCTACAAATATTGCAATATTTTAGTTTGCCTCAATTTATATGCCCTCAATAGGTATTTTTAAAAGGGGTCATGAGGTTATATATAACAATTATTACATGTTTGTTAGATTTAAATCTCTTTTGATACGTTGTACGTGATCATATTTTTAAGGATTTTTTGTAAATTACCACCCCAAAATATACCACGTATTGAAATAATCGCAATATAATCACCCATTTTTTTGAAAATTAAAAATAACCACTCATATTTTACAGGACTTGTAGGTTTTACCACCCCGACCTATTTTCCGAGCATGGACCCCACATCAATTTAGGGAATTCAAGACAATTTAAGGCTTTTGAAATCAAATGGAGGCAAATATGTAAATGAACAGTTTTAGGATATAAATGTTCATACACTATTCATAAGTGTTTTGTTAAACTTTTTCTAAGGTAGGGAAAACAATTAACATGAGTTAGTTTATTAAGTTATGAGTTGTAATTAACTCTGATCCTCTAATTAATATCAAGAGAAACGATAATGTAAAGGCTTGTTTGGTTCACCTTATTTTCGCTTATATATATGATGAACTTATCTAATCTTGTTTGATATGATCTGATTTGGTCTAATCTGATCTGATTTGACTAAACTTTAACCTTAAATGTACGATAATCTATAAGGAAAAAATGTATCAAGTGGGATCTTGTTAGATTCGTAATAATATGTAATTTTCATAATTTTTTAATTACGAAATCAAAAATATCTAGCGATAAAAAACTGCACATAAAACGAGATGATCTAATATGAACTTTTTTTTCTAATCTAATTTAATCTGAACTTATTTTTTCTAATTTAATATAATCTCAGAAAAAATAAGGTGAACTAAACAAGATCTAACACTCTCGTACTTTTGCCACATCGTTAAACTTGTGATCCATCAAGACCAAAGGCCAAATAGGCGGAGTCCCACCATAGTTAAAAGAAATTAATTTATAATTGAAAAAAAAATTGTTTTATAATAAAAGTAAATGCATGTAAAGTTTGTTAAACAAAATTCTGTTTTAAAAGTCAACATCAAAACAATGTCCATGCATGCATGCATACATTTGGCCATCAATAAATGGACCTCTTTGACTCTTATTTTTTTTCTTCTGAAGTTACCATGTAACTGAAATTTTGAAATTTGAAATATGCAATATTTCCTCTAGTTGTAACTTGTTCTTAGTCTATAATCACATTTTTCATACTGTATTCTCTTTATATCTTTCAAATTCATTTGCACTCCTCATTGAGATTTAAAATCTTTTACATGCAGTGTGGTATATCTTATATCTTATATAATTAAGGTGCAACTCAACTCTATTATTGTTCATTTGATAATTTTTTTTCTTGCTCATTTAAAAATCTTCGAATTTCCATCAAACATATAAATTACTTTCATACAAATTCGAAAATGATTAGTTTGATTCTGCAATTATTCTTGCAAAAACTCTGTTTTTACACTTCAACCTTACTCCCTTGTTTATTTATTGTACTTTTTATGTACAAAATTCTTTCTGCAAGATCTATCAATGGAAAACTTCGACCTCCTTCACCACCAAGGTTACCAATTATAGGTAACCTCCACCAAATAGGAGAGTTACCACACCAGTCATTTGCATCATTCTCTATGAAATATGGCAAGGTTATGTTGCTTCATTTCGGCAGCAAGCCTATACTCGTGGTATCAACACCAGAAGCTGCCTGCGAAATCATGAAAACTCAAGATCAAATCTTCTGCAATAGGCCTCAGTTACGCATTCCTACTAGATTATTCTACGGTTGTAGAGATGTGGGTTTTGCTCCTTACGGCGAACATTGGCGCAGGATGAAGAGTCTCTGCATTACACATATGTTGTGTAACAAAAAAGTCCGATCTTATAGAAAAATGAGGGAAGAAGAAGTTGCTTTAATCGTCGATCAGATAAAGCAATCATCGCAATCTTCATCAGTTGTGAAGTTGAGTGAGGTTATTAGTAAACAAACATATGATTTAATATGTAGGGCAATATTTAGAAGAAAGTATAGTAGTAATGATAATAATGGAGGTTCCAATTTTAAGAAATTGTTGGATGCAACGGTTGTGTTACTCGGAGTTTTTACCGTGGGGGACTACATTCCTTGGCTTAGTTGGGTGGACAGAGTGACGGGGTTGGATCGTCGAGTCGAAAGGGTTGCACAAGAGTTTGATGAGTCGCTTGATAAGCTAATACAAGAACATCAAAATCGTCTAAGTAGTAAGAAAATGATAAATGCTGAGTTTGATGAACAACAAAGAAAGGATGTTGCTAAAAATTGTATTGAGGGTTTGCTGGAGATTCACATGGAAGATGAGAATGCTGTCACAATGGACGATGTGAAAGCCAATATATTGGTAAGGGTAATTTGATACAGAATTCTTAGTTAGATTTTTAGTAAATGAAATTTCCTTTAAGATGATTCATGGCATTTTTGTAGTTTTTGAAAAAAGTATATACGTAACAGGTGAAGTTTTTGATTTAAATGCTTTCCTAAATTGAAATATACTTCTTATAGAAATCTTGTGTATAGAAAAAGTATATAGCATCACATAATTATACTTGAAAAGTTTTTTCCAAATACTCCGTAAGATTTATAATTGTCACTACAGCTTACAAGAATCTGTTGAATTATCATCAATAAATTTTCTCCATTCTCTTTTACTTGTAAACTTGTGAACATTTACACTTTTCACATTTTCCATCTAACATATATGTTGGATAAAATAGTCTTGTGAAATCATATTAGATTTGTCTCGATTTTTATTTTCTCCGTATCAAAAGTTTACTCTTTTTTTTTAACCTATCATTAAATAAAGATATAAAGGGTTGAATTATATGTTAGCAAATAAATGTGAAAATCAAAACATTTCAAATAAAGGAAAATGGAATATATATATATATATATATATATATATATATATATATATATATATATATATATATATATATATATATATATATATATATATATATATATATATATATATATATATATATATATATATATATATGAAACTAGTTTAAGTCCCGTGCAATGCACGGTTTTTACTTAGCATATTTATAAATTATAATGTTAATTTAACAATAATTAATAATTAATCAAAAATAAAAAATCATTATTTTTAATTGAAACAAATACTTGATTTTCTTTTCCATAAAATACCTATTATAAAATATTATATGTCAAAATATTTTTATTGAATGCATATAGAATATACTTTATATATAGTTGTCAAATTGAAAGTTAAATATTACAGGATATTATAAATTAATGTTCATAAATATTTGTTAAAAAAAGGAAAGTAAAAGTGGCGGGAATTTTTTTAATCAAAACCTGACAAGTGTCATATCAGATTCGCCTTTAGTATAATGTAATTAACAAGTGTCATATAAGATTCGCCTTTAGTATAATGTAATTAATTTTACTGAACTGAACTTATTTTTGTTGAAATGAAATTATTTTTATTGAATTGCTATTAAAGTTCACTAATTTTTAATTAACTAAATTAACTTTACTAAAGTGAAATTATCTTTACCGAATATTATTTTTAAGGTGAGATGAATAGGGCGTAAGTATCAAACTATAATTTTATAAAATTTTCGATTACATCATTAGAAATGTTAATAGTCAAAGACAAAATAAGAACTATTAGAGACTAGGGGAGTATGATATACTTCGTAACATTTTATTTATGACTGATTGTGTAGTAATTAAAAAGGTTGTGATATATGCATGTATTGATGTATACAGGATTTGGTTGCTGCTGGTAACGACACAACTCGCACACTATTAGAATGGACAATGTCTGAGTTACTTAGACATCCCAAAGTCATGAAAATATTACAAGAAGAGCTAAGAACAATTGTTGGAGACAAAAGCAACAATTTAAAGGTAAACGAAGATGACTTGGAAAACTTACCATATCTAAAAGCAGTGATAAAAGAATCGCTTAGACTACACCCTCCAGTTCCGCTGTTGGTGTTTCGACAGCCAATGCAAGATGCCAAAATCAACGGTTTCGACATCGGTGCAGACACTCATGTGTACATAAACGCATGGGCGATACATAGGGACCCAACTTATTGGGACGAACCAATGGAGTTTCGTCCCGAAAGGTTCTTAAACACTAGTACGTTCTCTTTTAAAAGACAAGATGATTTTAGGTACATTCCTTTTGGAGGTGGTAGAAGAATTTGTCCTGGGATTGATTTTGCTATGGTTAATGCTGAGGTTATGCTTGCAAATCTCGTCTACGAATTCGATTGGAAAGTGCCAGCAGAATGTGGGGAGCTTGACATGACTGAGACTGTGGGAATCGCGGTTCACAAGCGCGATCCCCTCATGGTTATTGCAACTCCTTATTCAAGCTCATAAGCTAAATAATCTTCAATAGGTGCAATTTAATAAGTGATATTGCAATGGTTTCCTATATTTGGTTTTATGATTTGTAATAGCAACTGAATTAAATGTTTCTTTTTGATGTTATGGTTGTTATTATGTAGTACAAAATCATGTTTGCAGCATTTAATTTATATCTCTCATACTACCATTGTTACAAATCAATAATCTACTAATTGATGAATCCATTCTTAGTTAGTAGCTTCAATAGAATGAATATCTAAGACCTAGACCTAGACCTAATCATGGGCAAAGCCTATGCAAAAACACAATTTTTTATGTGGCTGGACACACCGTGTGGTCAACCATTATGGGTGTTACTTTGTCAGTACTATTGGGTTACTAAGTCAGTCAGCAGCTACTAGGTCAGTCATTAGGGGCTATATATTTACTCGGTCAGGGGTTACTCGGTCAAGGGGTACTCACTCGATTAAGGGTTATTAAGTCGGTCGGGAGTTACTCGGTTAAGGGTCACTTGCTCAGTTAGGGGTTATTTGTTCGGTCGGGGATTACTCGGGTTATTTAATGCTTGTCAGCTGTCCATACAACGTGGCCACCACACGCAAAAGTTGCTGATGCAAAAAAAGTTGGCCATTTTGGCTCAAAGCTTCTAGCTGAATTGGGACCAAGTTTGTGCCAAAAAATTTGCTCACAACGATTCCATTTTAGGCCAATATAGAAAGTTTTTTGGGCCATTTTCAATTGAGTTAAGATTGTTACTAAAATTTAAATTTTGGATCGCTCCAAACCCCAAATAAATAATAACCAAGCCTAAAATGTAGGCCCAAAAAATCTTTTTCAAGCTAGGCTGCTTTTGATTAGCTCTACCTAGACTAATAGATGCAATACAATCATAAAACATGATACTCCGTAATTTTTTTTGCTTTTATGATACTCCGTATATTACATGGTTGAAATCACTTAAGAAATAAACATCGCGCTAAACTTTGTAGAAATTTTGCTTGAATATCAGCAGAAGAACAAGGATGCTCAATACCAAAGTTGTTAAATTAGCAAGAAAGTACTAATTCAATTTCATAAATTATACTACGTATTACCTGATTTTACTACATCCAATGGTACTTATACAGTTATACATATATAATCAGAATTGACACAATCTTCACACATATAGAATGTATATGATAATAATATTAATAAATGAGTTAATTATTAGGCGTCCTAGAGTTGTGAAAAACTGCAACAAGTAGCTCCAAGAAAAGGCAGTCGTGCACTCATACGGTATTTTTAAGGATAGACTAGTTCAAGTTACTATAAGGAACTATTCCATTTGAAGGGGAAAAAGAAAGTGCTACCTCAGAGTTTCGGTGTTATTTAGTTGAAACCCATTGTAGAAAGATGAGAGACGATTTTACTTTATAAGGTAAAATAGTACCTTCTACTATTGCCAATTGGTTTTAGTATAGAAGCTCTAAAGCTTTGTTTGTGGACCAAACTCTCCTCCTCCTTGTTCGGGTTGCCCAGACCCATTTCATATTGTTTCGATATTTAACATATTTAGGCCCGTTCTCTTCACTATATTTTTGCTGAATTGAAATTATTTTTACTGATTTTCAATTATAATTCTTCTTTAAGAAAACTAAATTTTACTGAACTGAATTTATTTTTACTGATGAACTGAAATTATTTTTACTGAAATGAAATTAATTTTACTAAATTGAACTTATTTTTTACTGAACTGTAATTATTTTTACTTAATATTATTTTTTTTAAAGGTGGAGAAAACAGGGCCTTACAACAATTAGATACTTTCTTCTTACACATTTGTCGTGGTTAATGACGAGCTCGTCGTTGTGAATCATGTCTATAAGTTCAATTGAAGTTGCTTGTTTGGAGTAGACTGTGTGACATTAACCATGGGTCCATGGTTGAAAACGTTGCTATCAATAATGCTCACAAGCGACTAAGCGAGCTCCTCTTTTGTTTATAGCCGCTCGCTACTCTTTCAAAGAATGCCGTATTTGATGTAGTTTCATTTAAGTCAGATAAAACACTTGAACACGTTATTCATGTTAATTAAGGCATTTTTCATTTCACCATAATTTTGTTGAACTAAATTTATTTTTATTAAATTGAAATTATTTATATCAAACTTAAATTATTTTTACTGAACTGAAATTGTTATTGTTGAACTAAATTATTTTTAATAATTCTCTATTATATTTCTTCTTTTAAATTACTAATTTATACTGAACATGATAAGAACTGAAACTGAGCTTTAGATCAACAACAATGGAGGAAAACAGAAAATCGCCATTAATGGTTTTAGAGAGAAGTTACAGAGAGAAAAAATCTAGAAAGAGAAAGTTGTATTGAATAATTGATAAAGAAGAAGAAGAAGAAGCGTATTAATACAACTTAACAAATATCTCAACAACTAACAATAAATGAGAAGTCCAGCTGGCAGGTTGTTATAACTAATTTAATTAGTGGAGAAATCAGTTATTGCTAAAGTTGCTGACGTGTGACGCACTAATTCTCCAAGAGATATCTCAACATCCCCCCGCAAACTAAGCATAGATTTGAACATGCCTAGTTTGGAGAGCAATTCTGTGAACTGAGAGGAAGGAATAACTTTTGTAAATACATCAGCAATTTGAGCATTTGTAGGCAGATATGCAATCTTCAACAAGCCTTCAAGGACTTTATCTCGAGTAAAATGAACATCAATTTCAATATGCTTCGTTCTCTCATGCTGTACTGGGTTCTTGGCAATGTGAATCGAGCTTTGATTATCACAATACAGTGTAACAGGTATGAGGTTTGTAACCCCTAGTTCTTCCAGCAGCCTCACCATCCAAGCAACCTCACTTGCAGCATTAGACATAGCTCGATACTCTGCTTTAGCAGAACTCTTGGAAACCACACCTTGTTTCTTTGATTTCCAACTGACAGGGGAATTACCCAACAACAAGATGTAGCCTGAAACTGATCTTCTGGAGTCCTGACAAGCTCCCCAATCAGAGTCAGAGAAGGCCTGTAAGGTCAGCTGGTCTGAAGCATACAACATAATGCCCTGCCCAACAGTTGAAGCCAAATAATGAAGAACATGGAGTAAAGCCTGATTATGGGGGATCCTGGGATGCTGCATGTACTGGCTCAAGTGTGGACTGTGAAGGCTAGGTCATGCCTTGTGTGAGTAAGAAAGTTCAACTTGCCCACCAAGGTTCTGTACCAGCTAGGATCATGAAACAATTCCCCATCAGTAGAATTCAGCTTAAGGTTCAGAGGAAGAGGAGTTACTGCAGACTTGAAAGAAGTAATGCCACAATCAGCCAATGACTATTTTGTGAACTTCTTCTGAGAGAGAGTGATTCCAGAAGAATGGTAGCCAATTTCAAATCCAAGGAAAAAGCTAATTTGGCCAAGATCTTTAATGCTAAAAACCATGTGCAAGTGATGCTTGAGAGTAGAAATTCCCTGTAAATCATCACCTGACAAGATAATGTCATCAACATAAACAACTGCCACTATCAACAGACCACCAGTCCACTTAAGGAAAAGGGAATAATCATTTTTAGACTGTGTGAAACCCAGAAATTGAAGTTCTGCCACAAGCTTGGCAAACAACTGGTGTGAGGCTTGTTTCAGCCCATAAAGAGACTTGAGAAGTCTACAAACCTTCCCAGGAGAAGAAGGATACCCCTCTGGTAGCTGCATATACACTTCCTCATGGAGTTCACCATGAAGGAAGGCATTATTGATATCTAGCTGAAATAGAGACCAGGATCTGGAAGCTGCTAAGGCAATCAAACACCTGACAGTAGCCATTTTTACCACAGGGCTGAAAGTTTTTGTGAAATCCACCCAAGCTTCTGAGTAAACCCCTTAGCCACTAACCTGGCTTTGAATCTCTCTACTGATCCATCAGCTTTTAACTTGATTTTAAAGACCCATTTGCAGCCTATAGGTCTCTTACCAAAAGGAAGGTCAACAAGCACCCAAGTTTTGTTGGCTTCCAGGGCAGCAATCTCCTTAGCCATTGCATCAACCCATCTAGGATCTTTAACAGCCTCCTTATAAGAAGAAGGTTCAACCAGATTCTCAGTATTAGCTATGAAAGATTGATGCTGTGTAGAGAAGGCAGAGAAACTGACTAGATTGCACCAATGAGAAGGAGACTCCTGGACAGAATTGTAGCAATGGTAACCCTTCAGATAAGAGGGAGGTTTTCTAGGTCTGTCAGACCTAAGTAAGTCAGGTGGAGAAATAGAATCAGGAGGTGGTGATGTTGGTGGTGAAATAGGGGAAGAAGAAGAAGAAATAGTGGTGTTTGGGGAAGGAGGTGGTGTGTTTTGTGTTTGTGGTGAAGGGTTGGTTGAGGAAATTGAACTGTCAAGTGACTGAAAAAATTTCAGGAAGATCATATACAAAAATCTCAGTAAAATCTGTAATAGTGGGGAGAAAGAAAGGTGTAGGAGAAGAAGAGAAGGTATTAGAAGAAGATAGATGAAAAGGAAAGTGTTGTTCCTTAAAAACAACATCCCTAGAAGTATGTATGGTATAACTGTCCAAATCAAGAACTTTGTACCCCTTTTTACCAGGTGAATAGCCAAGAAAAACGTGAGGAGAAGCCTTAGGGTCAAACTTACTCCTCCCTTGTTTAGAAGTAGAGACAAAACATAAGCATCCAAACACTCTCATGTAATCAAGATCAGGTTTAGTACCATACAATCTTTCATAAGGACTAGTATTAGTCAAGACCTTTAATGGCATTCTATTAATGATGTGAGCAGCACATAGTACACACTCATTCCAATAGGAAATTGGAAGTTTAGACTGAAAAAAACAAAGCCCTTGAGGTCTCAAGGAGCTGTTTGTGCTTCCTTTCCACCACCCCATTCTGCTGGGGAGTATCAGGACAGCTACTTTGGTGTTCTATCCCTTTACTAAGATAAAACAATTTAAGATCACCTTCACATAGTTCCATAGCATTATCAGTTCTCACACATTTGATAGAAGTACCAAACTGATTTTCAATATATTTCACAAAATTAGGGAAAACAACACTGACATCAGACTTGTTCTTCATGAAAAACACCCAAGTCATTCTAGAGAAGTCATCAACAATAGTAAGAAAAATCTTACAGCCAGTATGAGTAGTTTCCTTGTATGGACCCCAAATGTCTAAATGAAGAAGTTGGAAAACTACAGTAGACTTTATTGAACTAGAATTGAAAGACAACCTGTTTTGTCTAGCTGCAGGACAGATCTGACAAAAAACATCACCTAAACAAGGCTTATTATGAGAAATAGGGAAAGAAGAAACATACTCAAGTTGTTGAACAGGGATGTGCCCTAGCCTTAGATGCCACAACTTAGTAGTATTAACATCCTGAGCAGTCAATGAAGAAACAGCAGCTAACTTGCTGTCAGAAGTGTCCTAATCTGGCTCAATCAGATAGTATAACCCATTCACCATTCTACCAAGAGCAAGAGGCTTCATTGAAGTACTCTGGAGAATACATGCATCATTAGTGAACACAACATTGCAATTCATATCCATACATATCTTGTGTATGGAAATTAAATTGAATTTAAAGTCTGCCGCATATAATACATCTTTTAGTATTATATCCTTGTTAACTTGCACATCTCCCTTATGAGTTATAATCACCTTTCTTCCATCAGGAATGGTAATGAAATTGTCCTTACCATCAAAAGGAATCCATGAAATGAACTTAGACTTATCATGACTAATGTGGTCAGATGCTCAACTATCAACAATCCAGTAATCAGATTTAGAAGTCAGCAAGCAAAGTTTACCTGCCACATTAGCAGACTTTGTTGTGCCCGAAGAACTTCCAATGTTGTGCTCATCATTCAGTCTTTGTTGTGCTACAAACTTCATATATTGTTGTATCTGATCAGGAGCAATTGTCAGACGACTTTGTTCATCAAAAGAAAAACCAGATTCTGAACTCTGAGCTATGGATGCCAATTTCTTGCTCTTATCAAACTTGAAGTGTGAAGGATAGCCATTGAGCTTGTAACACCTTTGTATACTGTGACCTGGCATCTTACAGTGGTCACAGTAGTAATTAACTCTTCAAGTATCTAGAAGACCTGAACCACCAGAGGATCTCTGAGTAGAAAAATTGTTCTGAGAATTGTTGTACTGAGGTTTATTGTTCCACCTCTCCTGAAATCTTTGTCTACTTGTTGCAAAAGCCATAGAGTCTTCAGAAGACCTCATACTGTTGTCCTTTGAATCTCTGTATAGCTGCCTATGCTTTTCCTCTTGCATAAGCAATCGATAAGCATAAGAAATCAGTGGCAATGGTTGCATCAATAGGATACTGCCTCTAACCACTTCAAAGCCATCATTGAGTTTCATCAGGAATTGCACCAAACGTTTGTCCCGTTGTGATTTCAATAACCTCTGAGCTATAGTACAAGTGCAATTGTCACAATGACAGAAAGGTAGAGGATCTACATCATCTAATTGATCCCATAGTCTCTTAAGCTTAGTGTAAAAAGTAGAAACATCATCAGTTCCCTGCTTAATCTCAGTAATGGCTTGCTCAAGAGCAAACAGCACTGTTCCAGATGAAGCACCATACCTCTCTTCAAGATTCTGCCAAATTTCCCTAGCAGTAGAGAAATAGAATACACTTCTAGCAAGATTCTGATCTAGAACTCCTAACATCCATGAAATGATCATACTATTACACCTCTCCCAAGCACGAAGAAGAGGTGAAGTAGAATCAGGTTTAGAAATGGATCCATCGACAAAACCTAGTTTGTTCTTGGCCGATAAACTAATTAACATCGACCTCTTCCAATCACCATAAGCATTTCCATCAGATTTATCAGAGACTAATTTCATCCCAGGGTTGTCAGACGGATGTAAGTAATAAGGTGAAGTAGGGTCCTGAGAAGGATCTAGAGGTGGTGTTTGATGTTGTGCCATATTTTTGTGTTTTGATTATGAATGCAAATCAACAACCAAGAAGAAATTGAACAATTACAGAGATCTAGGTCAAAATTGGGGAAAAAACGGCAAGAAGAACACAATCAACCAAAAAATTACTAAACAACGTAAAGCAACAATCAACTTATCACTGAATCTCAACAATTGAAGAGCAAGGAATAAGAAGAACTGACCAACGAAGATCACTGAAAAACGAGAAAACGATCGAAGAACTCAAGTACGAAGATCGAGCAACAAAAGAATCCAAACAAGAACGCAGCAAAGAAATCGCAATGAGCTCAACTTGGCTCTGATACCATGATAAGAACTGAAACTGAGCTTTAAATCAACAACAATGGAGGAAAACAGAAAATCACCATTAATGGTTTTAGAGAGAAGTTACAGAGAGAAAAAATCTAGAAAGAGAAAGTTGTATTGAATAATTGATAAAGAAGAAGAAGCATATTAATACAACTTAACAAATATCTCAACAACTAACAATAAATGAGAAGTCCAGCTGGCAGGTTGTTATAACTGATTTAATTAGTGGAGAAATCAGTTATTGCTAAAGCTGCTGACGTGTGACACACTAATTCTCCAAGAGATATCTCAACAGAACATAAATTATTTTTACTAAATTGAACTTTTATTGAACTTATTTAGACGGAATTATTTTTATTGAATATTTTTTTTTTAAGTGAAGTGGACTGGGCCTAATAATTTAAGAGGACGTTTGGTTCGCGGATTACAGGTATGAGGTATGGATTTAGAATGATCAAAACTCATACCATATGTTTGGTTGTCAAAAATATGAATTTTAAACCCATACCTCAAACCTATGAGGTATGGGGTTTAGAAACCTGGAGTTGGGTTTGGCTCATTCCATTTCATTAGGTTCAAATAAGTACATGAAATTAAGGGGATGATATTCCATTCCAGAATTGAACCAAACACATGGTATTAAGTATCAAGTTCTAACCCGATACCACCGTAACCCTATTCCTGATTCTAAACCTATATCACTCTGCGAACCAAATGCCCCCTAAATAGTTTTGTAATTTTATGTTTTATTAAATACTGTTATTGAATTAGTAAAAAAAAACACAGATTTTCTTTTCATATAATACTGTTGAAGTGTTACAGTGGCATTAAGTTATAGTATGTATACCTTATTAAGAAAAACATTACAATTAACATGGAATAAAATTAATAAAATGAGTTTTTAGTAAAAAAAATAAATAAATAAATAATTAAAAAGTTACAAAATGTGTAAGTGTATTGTACTTGTAATAATTTACGTTTGTCTTGGCTGTTAAAAAATCATTGTTTAAGCATGAATGTCACATAAATCAAACTCGACAAATATGAATGTAACCTAAATCAAACTTGATTTAAGACGATAATGACAACCAAAATGAGACAATTAGGAGGACTCCTAAGTGAACATATATATATTGTCATTATATCATGACTACTTCTTGGATACCTGCCACGTTATTCAACTAGTAGATAGCATGGAGGTGTCCACCACGTTCGGGTTTTTTTTTTGTTTCCAACTTTTGATTTACAATTGTCGATCTCATGTACATTTGTTTCATCTCTTATCTAGTATAGTATAGTATTTTTTTTAATTCCTTTTCTATCGCTTTAATAATATGAATATGAGGTTGCAATTGAAGTTGATAAGGCTCACTCGCCCCTGACTTAATTAATATTTCCTCCTATTCTATTTAGTTGACGCGCTTAATTTAGGTACATATATTAAGGAGAGGAGATAGAGTGAGAGAGAATAAAAAAACAAGTGAGGTAGCTTGTAAATGCAAGATAAAAAATTTATCCCAAAAGATTACGTGTCAACTAAAACAAACTTTCGAAAAAGGAATACGTGTCAACTAAAAAGAAACGAAGGTAGTATTTGTCTCACGTTCAAATTTAAATAGATACATTGACATTATACTATTATGTAGGTCGAAGTTTTTGGTTGTAGAAGATCGATGAAGTAAAGAGAGATTATGAAATGGTGCTAAATATAAGCTAAGAAATGGCACAAGTTTAAAAAGACAAACGAAAAAAAATGGGCAAATACAAGTTTATCTGCCATGTAAACAATTTTTTGTTAATCTGATGGCATTTTTGTAAATATATTGAAAAAACGTGATCATTTATTTAGTACTTGGTGAACTGTCCAATTACTATTTGCAACTTGCTTTTACTGTTTGGGAGGAAATTACACATATACCCCACAATTAGTATATAAAAGACACATGTACCCCTTCACTAATACTTGAAAAGATGATTATACCCCCAATTTATCTGAAATTAAATGAGTACAACTCAAAAAGAAGATTGTAACAATGGTTAAGAAACGGAGATTGAGTACATGTGTTAATCTAGCAAATATATACTACTACCTCCGGTCCAAATTACTCGCAACTTTGGGGTATTATTTGTGAGATATAAAATATTCTAAAGTTGCGAGTAATTTAGATCGGAGGTAGTATGTCTTTCAATTTCAGATTTCTAGGGCCCCAAAATATTAACAGCCTTCAACAAAATGCATAGCACGTGGGCATATTGTGATTCACGTACCATGGCCATGGCTGGTTTGTTTTTATCAATGAGACTATGGGACCTTGTGTACCTTCTAAAATTTTGTGGCATGAATTACTTATATTGATTTTCGAGTATATTTTAGAAGTTAAGTCGTACGTTCAAGTGTTAAATTTTACTTTACACTTTATATGAATTGAAGTATAAATCTAACCGTTGATTTTTACATTTACATAGCAATAACACAAAGTATTAATGCTTGATATATATCAACTTATCTTCATTAAGAGAATAGCATAAGAAATTTCATGATTTAGAGGCTAAGACGTTAATGTTTGAAATTAGTTTTATACACCCGGGTGCACCATGCACATGGTGCACCACCTGGGTGAAATTGTTGCTGCGTGACATGCGTGATCTGTTTTTAAAAAAAATCATGTGTTTCCGTAATTTAAGGGATTGTGAAGAACATTCCATATTATTTGTTTCCAAAATTACTCCATCTACATTCTTCCATTATTTTCAAATATTTTAGAGAGAGAAAATTAGAGAGAAGTTTAGAGAGAGAAATTATCAGCGATTTACAGAGAATTTCAGAGCAATTTTCTCAATTTTAATGGCGTATCAATCAGAATTTCGACATGATTCTGATGCTAGAATTGTTGATGATAACCATGGTTATGATAATGATGATGATAATGGAGGTGAATTTGAAGATATCGTAAACAGAGACGAAGGTAATTTTTGTTGAATTTTTGTTTTGATTATTTATTTGTGGATATATGAATTGTGAAATTATTAAAAATTAGGTTGAATTTGATTTTAGATTTAGATGATTGATTGTTCAATTGATTGTAATTTTTTTTTTAATATATGTTTTTTTTGTAAATATATATAATTGTTGGACGTTGAAGATGAAGTTCTTTTTATATTTGGACATGTTCTTTATTTTATTGATTTGTTATGTTCATAGTGTATATGTTCTTTTTCATATGATTTATGTTCTTTTTCATATGATTTATGTTCTTTTTGTGAGACATGTTCTTTTTTTATGATACATGTTCTTTTTCATATGAGTTATGTTCTTTTTTATGATACATATTCTTTTTTTTTAATATTCATGTTCTTTTTATGATACATGTTCTTTTTTTTTCATGTTCTTTTCATGATACATGTTCTTTTCATGATACATGTTCTTTTCATGATACATGTTCTTTTTTTATGATACATGTTCTTTTTATGATACATGTTCTTTTTCATATGAGTTATGTTCTTTTTTATGATACATGTTCTTTTTTTTTAATATTCATGTTCTTTTTTTTTTTATATTTTTGGTGATATAATTGCTGGACGTTGAATATGAGGTTCTTTTTATATTTTGTCATGTTCTTTATTTTATTTATTTGTTCATGTTCACAGTGTATATGTTTTTTTTATGATACATGTTCTTTTTCATATGAGTTATGTTCTTTTTATGATACATGTTTTTTTTTTCATGTTCTTTTCATAATACATGTTCTTTTTTTATGATACATGTTCTTTTTCATATGAGTTATGTTCTTTTTATGATATATGTTATTTTTTTAATATTCATGTTCTTTTGTATGCAGATGTTCTTTTTATATGAGTTATGTTCTTTTTTAATATTCATGTTCTTTTTATTATTTTAGGCTTTACTGAGGCAAAGGAATCTGAACTTTATCTCAAAAAAGTCAAGTCTGATGATGAGGCATATGAGTTGTACAATAATTATGCATTTAAACATGGATTTGGTGCACGTAAGGCGAAAAAGAATTTTAGAGAAGATAAGGCTACTATTCGCCAACGATTTTGTGTTTGTTCTTATGCTGGTTTTAAGAAAGAAAGAAAGCCAGGTGATGAACCAAAAGTGTATCAGAAGAGAAACTTTTGCACAGGATGCAAAGCAATGATTCAATTTGATGTTGAATTAGATTCTGGTTTGTTTGTTGTTGTCAAACATCTCATGGATCATAATCATAGCAGAGTTCCAGTTTCAAAAAGACATTTTTAGGTCTCATAGGAAGGTATGATCTTTTTATGATACATGTTCTTTAATATTTTAGGATGTTCTTTATTATATATAAGTATGTTCTTTGTGAAAACATTATGTTCATTAATGTTCTTTTTCGTATAATGTAATGTTCTTTATGCATTTTCAGTGTGTTCGTTTTAATAATTTTAATGTTCTTTTTTAGTAACAGTGATGTTCAATTTATTTTCATAATTGTTCTTTTTAGTTTGCATCATGTTTATTAATGTTTATATTGATACTGATGTTCTTTTCTGAAATATTGATTTTAACATGTTCTTTTTTTCTTAACTATTTATAGATCAGTCAAGAACAATTTGGTATGCTTAATAGTTTAACTGAGAATGGTATACGTGTTGCTGATGTTGTTCGAGTTTTAAAAAATCAAGTTGGTGATGAGAAAAATTTGGGATTTCTTTGCAGCGATGCTTATGATGCTTTAGCTTCAGAGAAGAGGAAGAAGTTTGATGGTTGTGATACTAAGCAACTATTCAGTTATTTTAAAGAACGCAAATCAAATGAGTATGACTTCTACTATGATTTTGATGTTGATGATAAAGGTCATTTGCAATCTTTCTTCTTTCGAGACAATAGGATGAAGGTTGATTATGATGCTTTTGGGGATTTATTGGTTCATGATACAACATATCGTACAAATAAATATGCTATGATTTGTGGTCCATTTGTTGGTATGAATCATCACAATAAAAATGTTATGTTTGGCATTGGATTTTTGATTAATGAGAAGTGGGAGTCATTTGTGTGGTTGTTCACTACCTTTTTGAAATCGATGGGCGGTAAACATCCCGTTACAATCATAACTGATCAGGCCCAAGCTATGGCCAAGGCTATTAGAATTGTCTTCCCAAATTCTCGGCATCGATTATGTACTTGGCATATCAAAGAGAATTCAAAGAAAAATATCAAAGGACTGAGGGCAAAAGAAGGGTTTAATGAATTGTTTGACATAGTCCTAAAATACACAGATACTATTCAGGAGGTTGAGCACTATTGGTCTAGGTAATATTCTTTTGATGTTATGATTTTATTTTGATTTTATGATTTATATTTTCACATGTTCTTTTTTGTATAATGTAATGTTCATTATGCATTTATAGTATGTTCTTTTTAATAATTTTAATGTTCTTTTTCATAAATAGTGATGTTCATTATATTTTTACAATTGATCCTAATGTTCTTTTTCAGAAATATTGATGTTCACATGCTCTTTTTTGTATAATGTAATGTACAATGTACTGTTTAATATGTTTTTTTTGGCAATTACTGTTGTTCATTATATCTTTACAGTATGTTCTTTTTAGTAAGAATTATGTTCATTAATGTTTTTCCAAATTTCAGCATGCTTACAAAATATGATTGCAAGAATAATAGTTGGATCAACAACTTGTATAACATCAGAGACATGTGGTGCCCTGCATACTGTAAGGACTATTTTAGTGGTGGTATTTTATCTTCTCAGAGAAGTGAAACTACAAACAGGTCTGTTTCCCGTAGACTTCATATCACTCATGGGCTTTGTGAGTTTTACAATTCTTTCATTGAGGTTGTTGATGAATGGAGGAGTAAAGAAAGCAGAAATGATTATGACAGCATGACTGGCAATCGTCATTTAGTGTGGGCAGATGTTGGTTTGTTAGAGCATGCTCGAAACATTTACACAATTCAAGTGTATATACAATTTCAGGATAATTTTGTGAGTGGTGTTCCTTGCACAGCAAAGATAATAGGAATTCAACATCCTCTTTATGAGTATCATGTTGGGCATCCAAAGAGGGATTTGATCATGCACACTGTTTCTTTTGATGAATCATTGGTTTCAGTTGATTGTACATGCAAATATTTTAGTGAGGTTGGACTACTATGTAAGCATTCATTGTGTGTTCTTCATTTGAACAACATCACCTACATCCCAAAGAGGTATATTATGAAGAGATGGACAAAGGCTGCAATGTGTACTCGGGTTGATGATAATGTTGTAGCTGAATCGGGAGTTACACCTTCAAATGTGTGGAGATTACATATTATTAGGACTTTTATAAGGCTTGCTGATCGTGCACAAATTGATTTAAAGTCGCGAACTGTCATTGAGGAAGCTATTGATGAGTGCACCAACAAAATTGATATTCTTCTAAGGAAAGATGAAAGTGAAAATCAAGAGTCTTCAAATACTGATTGTCAGTCAACTGTAACACAAGATCAAGGAGATGGTAATTTGTTGGAACCACAAGGAGTAAATGAAGAATGTGTTCCTCAAACTGAAGATGTGAATGGTAAACAAAAAGATGTAGTTCAAGTAGAAATTAAAGATCCTATCAAGAGAAGAAAGAAGGGGCAAAGAAACACTAGACCTAAGAGTACACAAGAAAAGATAACCAACAAGCTAAAGGGTCAAAAAATCAAGTCATGGAAAAGGAAAACAACAAGAGGTGTTTCAAAATTGAAACAAAAAGCTCAAACTACGATTAAGGTACAGATTTGAGAACTCACAATACCATGTTCTTTTTACTTTACTTTATGTTCTTTTATATATATGTTCTTTTTACTTTATTTTATGTTCTTTTATATATATGTTCTTTTTACTTTACTTTATGTTCTTTTTTACAAAATTAAAAGTTTATATGTTCATTTCACATTAATATATGTTCTTTTTAAATATATGTTCTTTTTACCTTACTTTATGTTCTTTTTTACAAAATTAAAAGTTTATATGTTCATTTCAAATTAATATCTGTTCTTTTTAAATATATGTTCTTTTTACCTTACTTTATGTTCTTTTTCACAAAATTAAAAGTTTATATGTTTATTTCACATTAATATATGTTCTTTTAATATATATGTTCTTTTTACCTTACTCTATGTTCTTTTTTACAAAATTAAAAGTTTATGTTTTCATTTCACATTAATATATGTTCTTTTTATGTATATGTTCTTTACATATCTTAACTTTCTTTTTCCATTAATATATATACTGCTTAACTTATTTTATTTTATTTTTTTTTTTTTCATTTGTTGTGTTATAGGAATTTATGGTTGTACCAAAAGGAAACATATTGGCACATTCAAATGAGTTTGGAGGATCATTAGAGTATTTTGAACCTGATGAGTATTTTGGAGTTCATGTACTTCCTTTTGAACCTTGTCATTAGTAAGAAAATTTAGATTTAATGTTAGTTTTACTTTTTTTTTTTATATATTTTGTAGTAGATTCAGCATATTAAAGGTTTTTTGAACTTATATGATTTCTTATATAGCATATTATATACACTTGTATTCATTTCAAATCAAATAAACAATAGTCATTCATTAAAAAGAACATGTCATTGATTAAAAAGAACATGTTCTTTAGTCAAAAGAACATATCATAAATTGTAAAAGAACATTACTTATATAATAGGAATATGTTTTTTGCAAAAAAAAGAACCAAGTCATATAAATACATATAAATAATTGAAAAAATAATAAACTGCTGCTATTACGTTAATGTTTCAACATCCAAATAAACCTGAAATTTTAAATGTTCCCTAATTCTTTGAAATGTTTTTTGGCACGAGCACGCATTTCTGGTTTCTTCATGTTGAGATAAGTGGTGATAAGCTCATATGTGTACCTCAATCTTAGCTTCTTCAATGCATCAAACTGTAAAAAGTGAATGAATAAATTACAACTCAGTCAATAAAAACAAAGCACAAATTCATTTATAGATAGACAAATCTTACATTATTAGCTTTGAGACCACAAGTCCATTTTTTCTTCCCAAAATATGTTTCCATGTGTCTCATTGCATACACACCACAATCAATATTGTTTTTCTCAGTCTTCCATGGCATTTGAACTAACTTCACAGGGTAATTGGACATGTTCTCCCCTATTTTAATATCTTTGCTTTGCAAGTATAACCCAAGAGCATCTCTCTGTTAAAAAAGATTATAAGTTATTATCATAAAGAACATAAAAAAAAACATAACGGTTGACTAAAAAGAACATACGACACTGAATTCTTACTAATTTTTCAGGATAGTCAAAATATTTATTCTACATTGGGATTCCATCTGCAAGTGGTCTGTTGTCAAGTATATCTACTGTCTTTGTCCTAGTGTTGATGACAACAACATAGAAATGTACAAATACGTACACAGGGAAGAAGAACTGAAACATTTAAAAAGAACATGTCATCGAAGAAAAAGAACATAAGTATTAAATAAAGAACATGTTATTGTCTACAAAAGAACATAACTAGTAAATAAAGAACATGTTATTTATAAACAAAAAGAACAAACTACAACAAATTAAAAAGAACATAAGTGGTAAATAAAGAACATGTTACCTAAAAGAAATAGCATACTATAGCTTATGAAGAAAAAAAAATTCAACTTACCAATTGATATCCATCTGAAGAAAAAGAACATTCATGGTACAATAAAGAACATTTCACTAAAAAGAACATCCATAATATATAAAAGAACATGCACACTGAAAAAGAACGTTCATGATACATAAAAAGAACATCCAGAATATATAAAAGAACATGTGATTAAAAAGAACATGTTCTTTAGTCAAAAGAACATAAGTATTAAATAAAAAACATGTCATTGACTACAAAAGAACATAACTAGTAAATAAAGAACATGTTATTTATAAACAAAAAGAACAAGCTACAACAAACTAAAATGAACATAAGTGGTAAATAAAGAACATGTTACTTAAAAAAAATAGCATACTATAGCATATGAATAAAAAAATTTCAACTTACCAATTGATATCCTTCTGCAGATTCTATTTTGTTACTTTCATTGAGCCAAAAATGCATAGTCTCAAAAAATTTGTCAATCCTATATCCAGGTGTTGGTGATTGACTATCATCAGCATATGACTCATTCATGCATAGTTGATTCTTTTAAAAAAAAAATCATATAAAAAATATTTGAACACAATAATTAAAATAAAGGAATAAAAAGAACATATTTCACTAAAAAGAACATATCTCACTAAAAAGAACACCAGGAATTATGTTACTCACAAAGGCATTGTTTGCAAAGAAAATCCTTTTTTTATCATCAACAGAATCCTTGAATTGAGGATTAATGCCCAAGCATCAATAATATCAGTGTATAAATATACATTGTCCCCAAGTGTTCTGAACATTTCTCTTGTCAAATTTGTATGCCCATCATCATACATCCATTCACTATGAAAACAATATGAAATTGTATAAGTTAAATATAAACAAGAGAAAATGATAGTATATACTGCTCTTTAATATGTACCAAACTTACTCGTCATCAAGTTCTGGGGCATATGCATACTCTAATATAGCATGCTCAAACTCTTCTGTTCCTTCTATCATATGAGAATATTTTACAAGGTAAGGTGACTTGTAAATATATGCCTCCTTTCTAACCCTTTTGACAGCTTTAGGGGATCCACTATAAAAAAAAATAAAATAAAATAAAAAAATTGCAAACTATCATAAGTTAAAGAACATTCATATATATTAACAAAAAAAAAAAGAACATTTAATATTTTTTATACAAAAAAAAACATTTAATATAAATTATAAAGAACATTTGCCACAATCAAAATGAACATGCTTACTGAAAAGTTTAATAATACTATTAAAAAGATCATCCCGCTTAAAAGTTTATTTATAACATGCACACTGAAAAAAACATTCATGATACATATCTAAAGAACGTTTATAACATTGAAAAAGAACAACAACTAAAAAGAACATTCATAATACATAAAAAGAACATTTCACTAAAAAGAACATCCATAATATATAAAAGAACATGCACATTGAAAAAGAACATTCATGATACATAAAAAGAACATTTCACTAAAAAAATCATCTATAATATATAAAAGAATATGCAAACTACAGAAGAACATTCATGAAACATAAAAAGAACATGCACACTGAAAAAGAACATTTCATAATACATAAAAGTTCATCATACAACAAAAATATTTACCAATCTTCAACCAGAGTTTCTTTTCCTTTTTTCAAATTCTTCTCAGTTATCTCCATTGACTCAATTTTCTTCTTCTCTTTTTCTTCATCTTTTTCCAGAATTTGTGTTTCAACCCTTTCTTTTGCAATTGTTTTCTCTGCCTTTTCTTCCCTTTTTTTCATTTTGTCCTTCTTCCATGCTTTTGTCATTCACCCTTATAACACTCAAAAAGAATATAAGAACATATATAAAGTAAATAAAAGAACATACAATACATACTCAAATAAAAAACATAATTTAATAGATAAAAGAACATAATTAATAAAAAAAAGAACATGCTTATAAATAAAAGAACATGAATGTACTTTCACAAGAGTCAAAGAACAAACAATACCAAACAAAAAGAACATGCATATAAATAAAAGAACATGAATGTTCTTTCAAAAGTGAAAAGAACATACAAAAGTTAAATAAAAAACATATTCTTTCAAGAGTCAAAGAACAAACAATACCAAACTAAAGAACATTTTTATTAAACAAAAACAACATATAAAGTCAAACTAAATAACATATTTTTTAAATAGTCAAAGAACAAACAATATCAAACTAAAGAACATATTTATTAAACAAAAAGAACATACTTATAAATAAAAGAACATGAATGTTCTTTCACAAGTGAAAAGAACATACAAAAGTCAAATAAAGAACATAAACCTGTTCATCATAATAATATTACACATTAATAATTCAAATAATACATTTCTGAATAAACAAATTGCATAATTAAAAGTCAGTATTTGAGTCAGTTAGTTACCCCATCGTTTGATTACTCATGACTTGGTCCATTGCATTGGACTCCAATTGTTGCTCGGTGAAGTGTGAATCATATTGAGAAATGTCATCAAAAGCCTGATCACCCATATTGATTGTTCTTGACATGCTTAACCCAAGTGTAAGCCTTAGGTCACATGATGATTCAGGCAATGTGGTGGTTGGAGTAATGACATTAAATACAATTGGTTCAAGTGTGGATGATTGAGTTCTCTCCTCCTAAACTCCAGTATCTTCAACACTCATATTGTCACCAAATTCCTTGGTGTTTTCCTCAAAACCATCCATCTTGATAACATTATCTACCATTTCACCAAACCAGTCAGAGGCAAAGAAATCAGTGTCCTGACTAAGAATAGAAGTCCCTTCTTCTCGCTGTGTAGATATATTTTCTGATTTTCTTGGGAAAATTTGATTCCAGAACATTTTGCCCACATTGTACTCACATTTAATAATGTGGTGTCTATATCAAGTGTGTTACCATGGAACCTCTCCCCTAATTTTAAAACATTTGAGAGGTTCACAAACCCTTCAGCAATTCTCTCTGTTGCCTGAAGAAGCAATAGAGTATATTCCTAAAAGATGAAGAAGTATATCATGCATACATTAGCAGAAGAATATATTGAATATATTCAACAAAGTATAGAACATGCGATGAAAAAGAAAAGTTTATATTGTACCTGCAAATTTGTAGGTTGATGCTGATGTTGTTGTTGCTCTTGATGCTCATGTTGTTGCTGTTGTTGTTCATGTTGTTGCTCTTCTTGTGGTTGTTGCTGCTGCTGTGGTTTTTGTTGTTGTTGTTGCTGCTTCTGCTGTTGTTGCTGTTGCTGTTGTTGATGTCCTTCAACATCTTCAATGGCCAAGACTTGGCTAATTTCTGGGGCTTTGATTCTATCCAAAACTGTGCCAATCCCAAAGTCATTTGTTACCTCAAGATTAACCCTTTCCTTGATCATATCACCATTCCACTCTTTGACAAGAGGAATTTCTCTTGGAAAGCTTGATGTACCCCGTTTAAGGCGGTCAAAGTAGCAAATCTACATAATTAAAGAATGAAACAAATGATAATCTACAAATACATTCATAATAATTAAAAAGAACATAAAATTAAAAAGAACATCCACAATTTATAAAAAAAACATCCAAATATATAAAAAGAACATCCATAATGAAAGTTAAAAATAACATCAATCTAAAAAAGAACATCCATAATGAGAGTTAAAAAGAACATCAAACTAAAAACAATCATCCAAAATATATATAAAGAACATCCATAATGAAAGTTAAAAAGAACATTAAACTAAAAAAGAACATCTAGAATATGAGTTAAAAAGAACATCCATAATGAGAACATCTATAATGAGAGTTAAAAAGAACATTCATAACGAGAGTTAAAAAGAACATTAAACTAAAAAAGAACATCCAGAATTTATAAAAAGAACATTCAGAATATATAAAAAGAACATCCAGAATGAGAGTTAAAAAGAACATCAAACTAAAAAAGAACATCTAAAATATATAAAAAGAACATTTAAAATATAACTTAAAAAGATCGTCAAACTAAAAAGAACATCAAGAAAATATAAAAAGGAACATCCAACATTTATTAAAAGAACATCTAGTACATAAATAATGAAATAAATGATAAACAACAAACTTATTATAAATAATAAAAAGTACATATGAAAGTACAAAAAAGTATATATGTACATTAAGAATATTTACCGTAACAAAAGGCAATGGTCCAGGAAAGAATCTTTTTCTATCTCCCTTCCAGTAAATAGTCATCTCCTTCAAGCTCTCTACTGTATAGGAAGACCAGTCAAATTTTGATATTTTGTTGGTGTCGGCTGCTGTGTACATGAACCTATCATAAAAAAGCAACAACTAATAAGATAAATAACATGATTGTATAAAAAGAACACAAACTTTATAGAAAAAGAACATAAACATTAGAGAAAAAGAACACTAACATTAGAGAAAAGAACACTATATTTTTACCTATAAAAAGGCTGTGTGTTAGACACAGACTTGATGCAGGATTTCACTACAATAAGTAAGAAACTCCTCTTCCAATTATCATCAAGGGGAGTGTCTGGATTACCTAACTTTCCAGCTAAATCTGATAAGTTTGGAATACTCCCATCACTATATGCTTTCACTTCTTTCATCACCTCAAGTAAAACTTCATCCTCAAGGGCAGCATCTTTTATCTCTTCACCTCCAATTGGTAAACCATATACCAGGTG